TTTGGCCCAAAGTGGGTTTATCAACCAGCCCAACACAATGTTGTGAATGGCACAAGTTGAACAACACACTGTGTGGGAAGAACTGAACACCCTGCAGAATATCACAGTACAGTCCAAACACACAGTTCCTGTTAGAACTTGATTAATTTGAACAGCTTCAAACAAATTGATTTCACTGAAATTGTTCCTATTTCAGTCAGTCAAAATTAAAACAAGCCCTCAACCTAACAGCTCAGGTGTAGACCTGCTTAATAAGCCTATACTGTGCTTCTTAAAAAACTACTATCAATCTCATATTAACTGAAAGCGGATAATGAGAAAGTAAAGTACAAATTTATAAAAACTGCCAAATGCCAAACTCAGTTGTCTTTATCAAGAAGCTTTCACTGCAAGAAACAGCTACTGAAAGTGTTGAGCTTATCAGAAATGCAAAATACCGGCCAATTCTTAGTTTCTGTCACCATTTAACATCCTTCTTTCACCTTGCTTTCGTATTTCTTGTCACTGGTGTTTTATTCCCAGTTTGTCTGATTATGAAACCTGGTCTATTTGATCTACACTGTTAATTTTTTGTTTCACTTTCTGTGGAGCTTTCAGTTCCTTGAAGCTAAAGGCAGGTGCCTCATAAAGGGTAAGCAACAGGGCCACCAAGAGTGCCAATCCACAAAATCTTTCTAGGTTGGCAACCCAGTGAGCAGGTGCAAACGAAGGGTATAGATCTGCAATATGTGCATTCCTGTTTTGCAGCAGTACCAAAGTATACAGCCTAAACAAGGTACTTCTACCATCTTCTGAGCCAACTAAACTTTTAAAAACAGAATATGAGCCCCTTATTACAGCTGGGCACCTGCTACACTGGTGGTAGAGGATGCAGTCACAATTTGTCACCACAGAATGTTTGTGGTGGCTGGTGTGAATATCCCACCATGACACCTGCTCAAGTCAATCTGTGTTAATTACAGGGCAGAAATGCTCACTGTGCACAAAGTGACACAGTAGGAGTGTGGATCAGGCTTGCGTGCTGCTCAAGGCTTCCCTGAGTCAGGTTTGTTTGACCTGTCCCTCTGCTTATCCCATCAGCCTGTCAATTACTTCCTTGTCCTCTGACACTGTTGTTAGCCAAGCCAAATCCAAGTTCAGGCTATTAAGGACTAACAACGGGTGGCCTGAGTGTATGTAGGGGTACACATGTGTGTGCTCTAGCTGGGCTCACCAGACCAAAGATCAAGTTCCTTAAGCTGCTTTTCTAAGCCAAGAAAAGCTTACAAGTTATCACGTTGGTCAGAACAAACGTCCCACTTTTAGGCCCTGCAGCTGAGCCAAGGAATTGGCTGTACTCATTGGGCAGACAGCAGAAAGGCTGGTGAAGCAGTGTGGCTTTCTTCAAGAAGCATCAAACACAGTCAGAGAAAATCTAGTCCAAGCTTATTCATGTTTGACTGTTCATTCAACCCCAAGGCCAGAGCAACACTGAGTTTTACCCCCCTGGTTTATGAAGAACAGAAATAGATGAAGTGCTTCAATGCCAACAGAGGGACCCACATGAAACACAAGGAAAACATGACACTTAGTGTTCTCGTGATATTCTGTGAAGACTTTTACTGTCTTGTCTGGAGAACTTGTTACTAAAATTACACTCTAAACTCTAACCATACAGCATGTCCTAACAAGCTCATACACAAAAGCACACACAAACTGTGTGATATATTGTATGTATGGCAAAGCCCCTTGAGGTGAATAAATAGTTTTACATGACACATTTCCATCCATCTAACCATTCATCATCTATACTGCTTCTCCTGTAGAGAAGCGGAGTATGCCTCGGACAGGTCGGCAGCTCATTACAGAAAAAACAGAGACAGACAACCATTCACAATCACATTCAAACCTACAGGCAGTTCAAAGTCACCTGTCCAATTAACCTGCTAGTCTTTGGTCTGTGGGAGGAAGCCACCAAATGGGAAGAACAATCAAACTCCACACAGTAAGGCCTCAGTCGGCCATGAGGTTTGAACCCAGAACCTTCCTGCTGTGAGGCAGGTGCTAACCACTCACTACCACACTGCTCCACTTAACGTGTGTGTACATAAAATAAAAAAAAAACGTACAATGAAGCACGCTAGCACCAATCCAAAGTTGATGGCAAATGAGGTGTAACTAACCTCATTTACCATTTCATATACCAGTGAGCTAAAACAAAGAGAGCAGACCGTGAGGACGTTCCTTACATGCCAACCAAGGACAACAGACTCCTGACTCTAATGGGCAAGAGTGAGCCTTTTTAATATTCCACAAGCACACACTCAAAGGTGTTTAACACACAATGTTTGACCAACTCCCCTCATAAAGAATCAAGTGGGAAAGCTTATATTGCTTCCACTGTCTGGGCAATGAAGGGAAAATAATTTGTGTATTATAAACCAAGCCTCCATAAACAATATTAAAATGAAAAGGGTGCGGTGGAGGAGGTTAAATGATAAATGACTGTTCTTGTGGATTTACTGTAACAAGTAAAAGCCTGTTGTATTGATTAACCATAAACAGAATTTTCACCCAGATGTGAACAAAACTGGCTGAAATATCAACATATTCAACTCTGAGCCACAAAACTGTCATTTGCTGTGAAATGTATCCTGTGAATGACAAACAAGGATTAACCAACTAACCTGATCTGGGGAACTTGTTGTCACCATGTTTGAAAAAGAACTAATAGGCAGGAGGCTGTGAGATCAAAGCTGTGAAACTCCATCATGTGGGCAAACATGCTTTTCACTGTTAAACCCTACTAAGACAGTCTAATTTAAAAGGTGACATGATAAAGTGAAAGGGGGCTGTTGAGGAGGCTGAGGTATATGATCAAAGATGCAGAGCCATCATGTTATATGGCCCCGCTGCACAGTGTGAGCATCTGGAATGTGGGTTTTTCCCCGCTTTTGGTGGCTTTTATCTGTGTCTGTGCTGTCACAACGAGTCTACTCATAACCGAGGTTATCAAGACCTGTGGTAGCCATGTAAGGCAGATCGTCTTGCTAGGAAGAGATATATTGGGCTGATAAATGTCGAAAAAAGGCCCCACTTAGGCTGGATAATAAAGGGGCTTTTTCCATTTTACAAGACTTGTTGTAGCGTCATGGTATAAGCATGACACACTCAGAAGAACAACTAGGCCTGTTACATAGTTTACAGTGGGGCATGTCCTTAAAGGGAATTGGATTAACTGCTGGTAAAAACGGGGGGATTATAAATTTTTCTGACTTTAAGTGTGCTTATAAAAAGATGGACTACCATTTCAATCTTTACCCTCTTTCATTACTAATGGAAATTCAAATTCATTTTGTATGGTTCAACTACTAAGCAACACTATGCTCACTGTGTCGAGCTGAAAACAAAGACAAAATTGGGAGGAAAAACAAGGTGTCAGTATCTAGATGTGGTACAGGACGGCCTGTTCCCATCCCACTCTATTGTGCTGCAGCTCTCTCTGAGTGTGCACAGCTGCATGGACCATCCAGGTGGAGCCATGCAAATGAGGAGCAGAGAGATTATGCTAGGTTCAAAGGAAGCTGTCCACATGACAGGAACCAAACACTCTGATGCAAAACTACTGCTGTCAAATACACAAATGTGTGAGTAAATCAGCTTTGTAGTCTGTTTTTACTTTTGGCTACATCAATTTTATTATGTACTGAGTTTCATTTCACTCCTTAAATTAATTATCTAATGGTTCATAACTCTGCAGTAGCCATAATTCAGTGCTATGCCACCTTTTAGAACCAAGTGAGCATCTGTCATCTACAAGCTTTACACTAGTCTGCTGTGACTGGGAGAGATGACTATAGGCTACAAAATGCCATAGAAACAGGCTATACTGGAATGTGGAAGGAGTGAGGAAAACATCCTTCACACTGTGTTGTAGCAACAATTAACTGAGCTGGGACCCTTTTTGTAATGTATTTGTGTGGGTGGAACACACAAAAAAATGCATGGGTGTTGGAACCTGCAGAGGCCAGTCTGCCAACTAGCTGCCCTTGTGTGGCATATGAGCACCAAGATGACAACTCTTGTCTATACTTAACTTGCTGGACACCTCTCCTACCAGTGTTCCTGGTCTTTTAGAAGACACCGCCAAGGAAAATGATGGGACACAAAAAAAAAAAAAAAAAAAAAAAGGGAAATGGATAGAGGTGATACGTAATTACAGTGAATGGATCCAGCCTCCCACATCCCTTTCATTGTGCCCACACCCTCAGAGATAATGAAATGGAAGGCAAGCTTTTTTTCTGTTTACCATAGATCATGCAAGTCTAGTTGCTCTAATTTATGGTGTCAAAGAAAAGGCCCACAAAGTCAGACTGCATAAACACCAGCAAGCAGCCTATGTGGGTGGTGGATGCAATCTGATAAGGGCTTCTAAGAAACACTGTCTTCAGAAGACAGTGTGGAAGACCATAACAAGTCAGGGTCTCAGTGAATACGCCACATTTCATCCACTGCACATAATATCTCAAATGCAGATGCATAAGTTATGGTCATGCTAGAAAGCCACTGAAAGGATATTTTGTCTAGATACAGGGCTGACTTTGTGGCCACTACCACATACCAAACAAAAACCATATCTGCATCAAAACAAGCACTGAGCTGTTGACTTTAGGTCCAGCTCTGCCTGCATGCACCCAGTCTGTATTACTGAAAGTCCTTAGCAATCACATTGTTGCATAACTGAAAGGGTACACAAAGTATGTACAAGACAGGAGGAAGCAGGAGGTGAAAAAAGAGGAGACAATGTCCTTAACTGGACACAACTGAGTCACCCCACGCTTTTGGTTTAGGTGACCTGTTGAAGAAGAAGTGTTTATTTAAAGAAGGCTAAAATCCATTTTGGCAAAATACAAGTAGGACACAATGGATTTTTTACATATCAGGACAAGGTATGTGTGGACCTGCAGACTGTGCTCTCTGGTTTAAAGGTGAAATGTTTTGAAATTTGAATACCAACTCACCTGTTCTTCTCCAGCTCATTGTGTGTGGACCTGCAAAAACAGAAAACAGAAGTTGTCACATCAAAGAGCAAATGTAGACTTCTGCATGACCTATATTATCTCTACAGTATCTGTAGGGCAATGCACTCTGTTTGAGGAAACAGGTGAAAAATTAAGATGTAAGCTAGTCAAAAAAGAATCAGAATCAGCTGTATTGCCCAGGTGTGTTGGACACGAGGAATTTGACTCTGGTACAGCGGCTCTCAATCTGCACGTACATGTCCCCATGCAAGACAAGAGCAAGGGGCAAGTAAACAATATACCAACATAAGGCTGTGTAGTATAACAAAATAAACAGTGTAAACAAGCAATAAACAATGCAAACAGACAAAGGAATGTTCATTAGGAAGCAAGATAAAATAGAATGAAAATGGAGTACAAACAAAGACCTGTATAGATCTGTATAATCTGTACAATGTATATTTACCGGTATTGCACTGAGGGTTATTGTTCAGTCATACTGTCCTGGGTTAAGTGTTAATCAGGGGTTAATCAAAGGCTCAGAAAAGCGCAGTAGATGAGCTTGTTGAATTTGATTTTATTAATTTATTAATGAATCCCAGAAGAGAGTATCTCAACCCTGTGCACTGGAACTTTTACACTAACAAATGTGATAACCAGGCATGCACAGTGGCATTATGCAGGCTCCTCCTTAAAAATGGACAGCACAACTCTGGGGGAATGTGTGTATGCAATCTAAAGTTCATGCTATATGTGTATGTGCTTCTGGGCAAGTGTAAGCATGCACATACACCTGCAAAGCTTGTGGATACATCAGCCAGGGTCAGTGCTCTGTTAATACTGTAATGTAAAGTAAATCAGCTGGTCACTAAGAGTCTTTGCATAGCAAGATACTGAAAGGAGCCAATCACTTCTCCTGGTATGCAAATGGTCATGTTCCCATCCATGCACACAAACTGCACTCCACCTTGCCTCAGGGAGCACAGCTTTTAGAGGATGGAGTGGCACGGCAATGGATGCAACTTCGACTGAGTCATGTATGCAGCACTTACAGTCATGGCCAAAAATATTGGCACACCTGCATTTCTGTCAGATAATGCACAACTTCTACCAGAAAATTGTTGCAATCACAAATTCTTTGGTATTCTCATGTTTATTTCCTTTGTTTGCATTGGAACAACAAAAAAGCAGAGAAAAAAAAATCTGATCCATTTCACACAGAACTCCAAAAATGCACTGGACAGAATTACTGACACCCTCAGCTTAATATTTGGTAGGACACCCTTTAGACAAAATAATTGAAATCAATCTCTTCCTGTAACCATCAGTGAGTTTCTTCCACCTCTCTACTTGTATTTTGGACCACTCTTCCTTTGTGAACTGCTCCAGGTCTCTCAGATTTGAAGGGTTCCTTCTCCCAGCTGCTGCTCTGAGATCTCACCACAGGTGATTTATGGGATTTAGATCAGGACTCATTGCTGGCCACTTCAGAACTCTCCACCTGACTGTCTGAAACCATTTCTGGTTTTTAAGTCTGCTTTGGGCCATTGTCCTGTTGTAAGACCCATGTATTGGGGGGGGTCTTCAGATTTCATAATGCCAAACACACAGTCAAGACATCCAGTGCCTGAAGTGGCACAGCAACCCAAAAACATCAGCAAACCTCCACCATGATTGACGTAGGGACCGTGTTCTCTTTTGAAGGCCTCATTTCATTTTCTGAAGAGAGTACAATGATGTGCTCAACCAAAAAGTTCTATTTTAGTCTCATCTGTCTACAGGACATTCTCCCAGAAGGACTGTGGCTTCCTCAGGTACGTTTTGGCAAACTCCAATCTGGCTGGGACAACACTCAGTTCATTTCTCTACCTGTAAAGCTAACTTTGTGTAGAGACTTGTTTATAAGAAACATTATCACTGCTGCTATTTGTCTCAGTAAGATTAGCTGACAGAGATATCTATCAATGGTGGCATGTGATTAAAAAATGTAGGTTAATACTGTAACATTACAGGAGCTAAAAATCCGCAGAGAATGTTTACAAGCTATTATGTCATTGTGGAAACATATTTGCATTATATATTTTGCATTTTAAATAAGCTGTTACTGAAGCATGACCAGTAAATTTCAAATTTGTCTGGTAAAATTAAATCTTTCCAGACACCTGACCGGCAAGAAAATTTACAGTGGAAACCCTGAAACATACATATTCTACAACCCTGTATTAGACATGCATCAAACCAGGCTAATGTTTTCTGTGTAGACAACCTTCATTAACATCTACCACAAATGGACTTGCAGTTCCAAAATGATTCCTTTACTGGGAAAATTAAGAGTCACAGTCTTGTGTTCAGTGCAGGCTTTTATATCATTACTTTCTGATGGCAGTAGGTCCAGTGATTTCTATAGCTGATTGTGAGTCAGAGCAATAGTTGTTCTTTGCCGTCATCAGCTATTACCGAGATTGTACTGTGTCTGTGTTGCTTGGTAACCCTCATCGCAGTTTGTAATTCTTTGCAAACTCTGAGAATTTCATTGCAATGTGATTCAGTGTGTTATGTAATAATATAAGGCTTTTTGACTAATTATCACACTTTAAGAATAATGAAAAATGTAGTTTCATGAACTATTACAATTGTGGCCATGTCAACCAGTGTGCCAAGTGTTCTGTAAAATGACTAGGTAAAAGTTTGAAAAAGGTACTGATAATACAGACAGTGAGAGAGAAAATTATGAGAAAGTTAAATTATTTTATCCAGAGAGAAGTAATTTTAGAAGTGCAAGTCCATTATAGGGCAATGCTGATGTCATTTATACTGTATTAATCTGATAATGAAACAGGCCTTGGTTCAGCCCTGGTCTAAGCCCCTCTACATCCAAACCACACGCATACACTCACTACACCTTATGGTACAGCCTCTTATTCAGAAAGATACATCTAAGTCTACTTGCTTACCCACAGGCTTTTATCATCACAAGCCCCAGCCTGATGAATCAGATATCTTCTTGTCTAAAGCTCAGCAACAATGCAATACAGATTAAAGGCTCAAGACTCCACACAAATGCAGCATTCTTCCATCTAGGTATCCAAACGTGTGTGTGTGTGTGTGTGTGTGTGTGTGTGTGTGTGTGTCAGCAAACCTCTATATGCACAGACAGAGGGGGGGTCAATGAGATAAAGCACCCCTGCTATAAACAGTAGGAAAGGACAGGGTCAGATCAGACCATCACTGTAACCCTCAACATGTTACCTTGAAGGCAACTATAGCTGGAACAAGCTAGTGACAGAAAGCATCTTGATTAAACAATAAAAAAAAAAGCTTAAGCTGTCATCTTAATCTAATTATTGTAATAAATTCATTGTTGCAATCTCTAAAAGATGAGACTAACTTTAGATATGGAATGCCCTCAGAGTGGTCATAAGTCAGAAACAAACAAGACCATTAATATGACAAAGGGTTTTGTTCAGTATGGTGTTCTCATTTGGATTGGTCTATCATAAAGTTTCCATCTGATTTTGTCAGGTTTCAACAAAGATGACAGAGTTGTAGACGTTTTGCTCAGACCTCTCTGGCTGATGTGTGATGTCTTTATTTCAGCAGACACTGGAATCTGACATCGTGAGGTGGTGAAAATGACTCGAAACTTAGAAATTTAGCAAGATTTCTCACCTACAGTGGGTACGGAGAGTATTCAGACCCCCTTAAATTTTTCACTCTTTGTTATATTGCAGCCATATGCTAAAATCATTTAAGTTCATTTTTTTCCTCATTAATGTACACACAGCACCCCATATTGACAGAAAAACACAGAATTTTTGACATTTTTGCAGATTTATTAAAAAAGAAAAACTGAAATATCACATGGTCATAAGTATTCAGACCCTTTGCTCAGTATTTAGTAGAAGCACCCTTTTGAGCTAATACAGCCATGAGTCTTTTTGGGAATGATGCAACAAGTTTTTCACACCTGCATTTGGGGATCCTCTGCCATTCCTCCTTGCAGATCCTCTCCAGTTCTGTCAGGTTGGATGGTAAATGTTGGTGGACAGCCATTTTCAGGTCTCTCCAGAGATGCTCAATTGGGTTTAAGTCAGGGCTCTGGCTGGGCCATTCAAGAACAGGTACGGAGTTGTTGTGAAGCCACTCCTTCGTTATTTTAGCTGTGTGCTTAGGGTCATTGTCTTGTTGGAAGGGGAACCTTCGGCCCAGTCTGAGGTCATGAGCCCTCTGGAGAAGGTTTTCGTCCAGGATATCCCTGTACTTGGCCGCATTCATCCTTCCCTCGATTGCAACCAGTCGTCCTGTCCCTGCAGCTGAAAAACACCCCCATAGCATGATGCTGCCACCACCATGCTTCACTGTTGGGACTGTATTGGACAGGTGATGAGCAGTGCCTGGTTTTCTCCACACATACCGCTTAGAATTAAGGCCAAAAAGTTCTATCTTGGTCTCATCAGACCAGAGAATCTTATTTCTCACCATCTTGGAGTCCTTCAGGTGTTTTTTAGCAAACTCCATGCGGGCTTTCATGTGTCTTGCACTGAGGAGAGGCTTCTGTCGGGGCACTCTGCCCTAAAGCCCCGACTGGTGGAGGGCTGCAGTGATGGTTGACTTTTTACAACTTTCTCCCATCTCCCGACTGCATCTCTGGAGCTCAGCCACAGTCATCTTTGGGTTCTTCTGTACCTCTCTCACCAAGGCTCTTCTCCCCTGATAGCTCAGTTTGGCCGGACGGCCAGCTCTAGGAAGGGTTCTGGTCGTCCCAAACGTCTTCCATTTAAGGATTATGGAGGCCACTGTGCTCTTAGGAACCTTAAGTGCAGCAGAAATTTTTTTGTAACCTTGGCCAGATCTGTGCCTTGCCACAATTCTGTCTCTGAGCTCTTCAGGCAGTTCCTTTGACCTCATGATTCTCATTTGCTCTGACATGCACTGTGAGCTGTAGGGTCTTATATAGACAGGTGTGTGGCTTTCCTAATCACATCCAATCAGTATAATCAAACACAGTTGGACTCAAATGAAGGTGTAGAACCATCTCAGGGATGATCAGCAGAAATGGACAGCACCTAAGTTAAATATATGAGTGTCACAGCAAAGGGTCTGAATACTTATGACCATGTGATATTTCAGTTTTTCTTTTTTAATAAATCTGCAAAAATGTCAAAAATTCTGTGTTTTTCTGTCAATATGGGGTGCTGTGTGTACATTAATGAGGAAAAAAAATGAACTTAAATGATTTTAGCATATGACTGCAATATAACAAAGAGTGAAAACTTTAAGGGGGTCTGAATACTTTCCGTACCCACTGTATATCTGCAATCATAAATAGAACTGTTTAATAAAGTAGACCACCAATGACAGAGATGCATGCCCCTTCACTGACGCCGACAGCACTGGAGATATCCAAATAGTGTTGTTTTGTTGGGTCTGCAAGGTGTGAAACTCCAGTGGGAATGAAATAAAATGCATCATAATAAAATGCTGTGAAATGGTGTGAGACGCTAAATGGTGTTATCTCACTGAGTGAGTAGTGAACATGTCTCTGTGGGGAGAAAGACCAACACCAAACATCACACTAGCAGAGGATGATCTGTACTGCTTCACCATATCTTTTCTCTGCACTTCCTGCAGACATTTTTTCAACTGCATCTCAAAGTCATCCTCCTTAGCAATAAAGCTGTCCTAAGGGCAAACATGTTCTTATGATTTAAATTACATGAATGAATACAGCCTTTTAAAACATCATTATTTGATGTGTTCTTGTAGATATTTCCCATTAGGAATCTTTATGAATACAGCCCCAGACCTACAGTATATTTGATCATGACTGTTGCCATGCAGAGCTAGGCAGTGTTCTGTGCTTGTGATGAGTAATGCACAGTTCCTGTTTGTGGCCCACTTTTACATTAATATTAAAAGAAGAAAAAGAAGGAGAGTGCATGGTGGTTTGTGTTTGATGTATGACTGTCAATGAACATACTAATTTAATGTAAGTTTCTGCTATCAGTGAAATCACCTTGTAACTGTTAAGGATGTGACTACAAGACTGTGTTACATCAAGCTACACGATAGCACAGATTAAACATGTATTCCTCAAGAGCACTGAAGCAATGCATAAAAAGTGTGAGCTTTTCTTTACGATAAAACAGCACATTACCGGTTAACCTAAACATCATTAGTCCTGAAAAGGGCTCCATATATTCACCTGTGGACGTCTAATTGCAACATTGGCCATATACAGTATAGTAGCTTTTCCCCTTTAGAGCAAAAGAGATCTCTCTCACACTCAGTTTAGAACACAATGATATGGGAAAAATGAGCATGACTACAACCAAATCCTTAAATAAAATATGAAAGTTAAAACAAGGCAATGTGTTAGGCTTCTTTAGTCAAGGTTGAGTGGACTGCACAACATTAGAAATGACCTTGTTGTTGTCTTTAAGGGTCATTTTGACCAGGATTCCTCAGCCACTGTGCTCCCTTTCACAATGAGCTGATGGAAGGCTAGCCACAACTTAGCGGTGTGGACAGTCATATGTGCACGTACCGTATGTAGGTCTGAATTAACCACAAGTTTGGCAAACATCTTGTTTTAAATTTGAGAACTGGGGGGCCAGCCACATGTTGCTTGCAACACACACTTGGTACATCAAATGTAAAAAGAGTAATTACTGACATCTATAGTTTCTTACCTATTGTGGTTACTGCTGAACTTCTTATTTCGGAATTTTCTTTGCCTCTGGTAGTTTGTGTTCTGATTTGACGGAAATGTCGAAGCATATCCGTGTTCACACTCTGCAGAAAGAAATTGTATGGTTAGCCTCGGGCAAGTTTAGACACTTTTTCTCAACTATATGCCTGAATACTTTAGGTTGGCGATAATATATAGGTCGGTAGTACGTTTGTAATTCTCTGGAGAAACTAAATTACCTGCTGACAACACTTCCTTGTCTTATCGTTCCTTTTAAACTGCAATTACCTTTACCTGCCGTTAAAGCTGTCAAAAGTATAACGTCGGCTGTATTTACTAACTAAGGCAATTGTTTTTCAGTTTAAAACACATCTGAACAGATAATTACCTCTTTCTCTCCTTTCTAGATATTCCGCAGCCTCCAATAACAGTTGGATATTTATCAGTTGAACATCCGTCATTCTCTTTCCCGAGGCTGGCTACCGTTAACGTGGGCTATGCTCTCTCTCTTCAGCGTTTAACTTAGACCAGTCGCTTTTAAATACAGGGAAGACAATGCATCGGTAATTACTACACTGGATAATACTTTTTAAAATACCGTGTTATTATGATTTTGTTCAGTGTCTTCGCTGGCTCATGAGCAGCCTTTGTTATAAGGAGAGGAAAAATCTAGTGTTTCCAAGCTAGCAAGCCACAGCCAATCCGTGCAAGGGTTTATTGTTAGAAAATGTTAAAAGCAGTGTATCAAAATATTAAAAGTTTCTGTGGAACACGATAACAATTTATTACAAAAACAAATAAAAACGGTATAAAATCTCCTCGACGGAGCCCAGAGGCAGCAAAGTGCCTTCTACTGCTCGTTTCCTTTCCTCTCCTGTTTGTTTACCTAGATGCAGAACTGAGAGGCGGGAACACAGCGGGGAAGAGGCCGGTCTGAACGCGCTGCATTCTGGGAAGCAGAGTCTTTCGTACATTTATAAAATGCCATCAAGCTGCACAATATTTGTTATTTTCACAAGCTTGTCCGAATTTACTGTCGTTTATCGAGTGAAACATAATCCTCGATTACTATATATGTATTTGTGGAAGTTTAAGGGGTAATTCTGTGGGACAGTGCAATTCCAAAAGTTTACAGAAATTATGTAAACTATGATGTGATTATTCTTCCAATTTTAAAAGAGATTACAGCTACCGGTGACAATAGAGAAAGATGAATGAATTATGATGGTGAAATATGAAGTATTGTTTTCAGATGAATTCTTTATCTGGAGTGTTTATGTTTGCTGTTTTGTAATAGCCTACCAAAAAGCCAGTCTTTACTAATTTATGCCATCAGTGATTTTTAAATGACTGAGGGTTTTGATGATAGGTTCAAGGTTCAAGGATTTTATTGTCAATAGAATAGAATAAGAAGTAGATTAACGTAATTAGGACAAATCTAAACGGTACAGCCAATAAACTGTGACTCATATATACTAGTAAGTTATACTACTAAGCACAAATAGTACTAGTTTTGACTCATAAATACCCCTAACAGTCATTCCGCTGTCCAAAACAGCGTCTACAAATCCCATAATTCACCGGTACCGTGGGCGTGTACTTGCCGACTGAAGCCAGGCCCAGCAACACGTGACGTCGCTACCGAGCAGGCGTCTGATTAACGGATGGCTTTGACAGGCGTCGGGGGTTGAGCCCGCATCGGACCAACCACATAGGAGCTTTGGGCCATGTGGAAACAAGTGCGGCACGCCCACAAATAGCAGGAAGCAAACAATCGAGAGGAAGAGAGCTGTTGGTGAGCCGCTGAGACCTGCTGTTGCAGAATTCCCACGTTACATTATAATAGGTGATATCACTCAAAGGACTTTTCCAAGACGCACCAACCCAAATGGACGCCTCTATGCACGAAAACAGGCCTGCACGTATTGACGCATAGAGAAGCAATGAGAAAAAAAGCAGCCTACCTCCCTCTATCTTTCAACGACCATTTCTTAAGTAAAGAGGGTCATCATCAATAATTATTTTCAAAAGTCGTTTATAGTGTTCATTTTTTGAACAATTAAATTATAGCTAGGTAGGTCAGGGTCTACTTGTAGTTTGAGAGATCATGTCATGCAGTTGCTTATCTCATTGTAGGCTAGAAATTATAAACAAGCAAATTAAACAGCCAAGAACGTCTGTGTTTTGAACGTCCGATTCACTATTCAGTTCTGTCCTGAGCGTTTTATCTATGAAGTTTTCATTTTTTCCCAGCGAGTCTGCGGAGGCAACAATGACATCATCTTAACCCGAGTTGTAGAGCGCTGCAATGTGGTCCGATTGATATCGGAGTGGTGGCCAACAAGCAGCACACCCACACCTAGTATGTCATATTGCTTTATCTAGGCTGCAAGGGAAAATTACAGATCTGTGGGTAAGAGCTGTGCAGACGCAGAGCGATGCTCAGTGTCCTACACGCAGATAATGCAGATTTTTTTTAAAAGTGTCCAGAAAATAATATATGCATATGTGTTTATTACTCTCCTATATTTGCAATGAGTAAATCATTCATACTGGTCTGGTGCCCAGTGAGAGGCTGAGCTTATAGCAGGCAGTGGTGCTTAGTTGAATAAACTCAGCCCTTTGTTGTCTGAGTCTGTTGACAATGAAGTCTTGTTTTCCTGAAATGCAGAGGCAAATGAAAAGGATCAAACGCAGCACAAATAAACTCACTTCCGTCCTTCCTTTCGGCGTTCTCAAGAAATCTAGCAGCCTCCAGCAAAACTTGTACATTTTTCAGAAAAGTGTTGATCTGCTCCATGTGGGAGTCTTTGGAGTGGAAGACGTCACTGAAAGGACAATCAGACATCTCAAAATCTTGCTGATCCAAGAGAGACGCTTCGGAATCAAAATAAAACTCCTCGCTCTTCAGACTACTTCTTTCACTTTTGGCCATTTTTCCTTTTAGTTTGAGTGAGTGACTTCTGTTCTGGCGACACGATGATCGCAATGACCAGTGAAGCTACTGCTCTTGTCAGATGGTTCCTCTTTTTTTTTCTTTTTTTTCTTTAATGAATGCAGGGTATTTAATGTGGAGCAGTGGCCAATGTCAGTAGATGGTGGTGCATGGGAAAACGAGAGGCCGGCCCCCTCTACTGAGCGGTCCGCGCGGTCCCTGTGCCCGCAGCTTATAGTTATTCAGCATAAAAAAGACACCAATGAGTAAATAATCACAGGCCCGTTTACATGTCAAACGTATATTCACAGAATTTCATATTCTATTTTGTAAATTACCGTAATTTCTCAGTATTTATTAGTAAGTACCATGTAATGATGACGGTATGGACCCATATTAGTAAAAGTAATAAAAGTTGCAATGCCGTGGCAGTATTAGAGACATGGTGCTAGTAAAATAATATTATTAGTATTGCTATTGTACTGATAAATTACTTAAAATAGCCAACTGTTGTAAAATCTGCATGAGTAATTTTTAAAGATACTCAAAAGTTGTGTTGAAATGCAAAAAAAAAACCTTCTCAAATGTTATATATAAATGTGATATGTAATAATGAGTAAACATCTTATTTTTACTTTTGATTTGATTTGATTTGATTTGATTTATTCTTTCAAGCATGTAAAAACAGTTGATATGACAACACATAATTTTACACATAATCCAATATCAATTTGCTTATACCTAGTACATGCTTGAATGGAGTAGGAAGAAGTCAGACTTATCCAGTCCTACCCCATGACATCATCTTACCATCATTGGTTTGCAAGCAGTAAATGATTCACTTCTACCCACACAAGTATTATGCTAAAAAAAAAAATTATAACAGTGTTAACATTCTTACATAATTACATTCTTAAATAATTATCTTCTACACCACACAAGTAATATACTAAAGAATTATTACAAAGTGTACACCACACCCACAATTGTCCATATAATTAATCATTGAGCCTATTCTTGCATATATCTTGATTGACACATACCTTTATATTTATGTTTAAACTCATCATTACTATTACGTATTACTATTTTTTATGTCTACACTTAAACTATTCCATAGTTTTACCCCACTTATAGAAATACAAAATCTTTTTTTGGTTGTACGTATAGCATGAATTTTTAAATTTAACTG